CTCTGTTCAATATATCACTACCCAGAAGCTAAGCAATACAACAATACAATCTATCAGCGGCCCCCAAAATATAGAATACGAAACAATTCAATACAATACCATTTATTCTTGTATCACCAACACAGATCAGAGAATCAATACACACTACAATACAATACAATTTATTCTTGTATATTCTTGTAATCAAAAGTTAAGACACAGAAAATATGCATATACAGTATATGCATTGACCCATTGGGAGACCAACATCCATGAATGTTGAGAAATGTCCATACATTTTGTAGAATAGAATATGCTTGAAATAAACTTGAACATGCAATAGAAAAGATTTTTAAATGTCAAAATGTAATTTGGCTTGATTTTAGTAAAGACTAACTGGAAGCATCCCATTAAAAAATGTTGTTACAAGACAAAAAAACCTAATTCAAGCATTACCCAATACCCAATACTTGTTTTTGCAGTGAAGTGAAACACTATGTATGTCTATAGATAGACTGTGTTATTCTTCCTGTACTATTAAGGTTTAAATCACAGAATTGTTATCAGAGCTTTTACTCCGCTCTGGATGTTTAACAAATCCGGATCAGCCATGGAAAACCCCTTATGGGCTGATCTCTGCTTTAGGTTTTCTCTATGCAAACTGCAGAGTGGCTTTCAAATGTGCGCATATGTAAACAGTTACACACACAGATGCATTCCAGAAATGTGGCTTGATTTCTGGAATGAGAAAAGAATGCAGTGTTTGGCATGAAAAAATCTATCGTACTCAGATAGTGGCATGAGGGGTCCACCTAAAGACATGTACCTGTATGCACCAGTTCAAATTGTCAAGATAATCCCATGATAAACTTCCCTTCAGTATTTCAGAGGGAGGTATAGCAGTTGAGATTATATTCATGTTAAAACATCATTTGAAAGACGGGTTGTTTATTGCTTAAGATAGCCTTTGTGAAGTCTTACAAATACCAGAAGGGAAACAAGAATCAGCAGACAGAGGGGCCTATTGTGAAACTCATGCATTTTCCATGATCGCATTACACTACAAGCCTTGACAAGAAAATGAACAACACTGATATTGTAGCTGAATACAGGTTTTTTTACCCACTGAATTTTCAAATGGTTAATTATTAAATTGCCTGGGAAACATCATCTGGACATGAAGGATGACATAGCTTTTAATCTGAACGTTCAAGGTTGGTCCACAAGTCAACAGTCCCCTGAATATGTTGTACTTGCTTGTATTTCACGGCTATCAGTCACTTGCCCTCTGTTTTCACTTGGCAAAGGGACAGAGTGAGCTAGTACAAACAGGCACCACGGGGAATAATTCAGAGGAAATGGGAGAAATGCCTGCTTGAAACCCTTTCACTTTCAATATTACAATAAAAGAGGTCACTTTTGTATGTGACTCAAACTACTGATCTCTTTCTTTTTCTCTTTGATTAACTATGTATTGAGTTTTTTGTAGAAAAGAACAAGCAACAACACCATGTAGCAAAAGTAAAACCAAACAAACAGTGGGGGTAGAAAGATAGCAACTATATACAGAGTCTGGTTGTATAGCTTGTATAAGAATTCACCGTTAAACCATGATTTGTTTTTATTGATCAATTCTGTAGTGCAAAGTAATACATCGGTTTTTTTTTAAATCTTATAAATTCTTTAATTGAAAAAAAATAAAAATAGCGTCACAACTGTCTGTATTTTCTGAGTTTGGTTCCTATATCATAAATAAAATATGTAGACATTGGAATTGTTAAGATATAAAAGATTAGATTTTTATTGAATACAGGCCACATACTACATTAAATTCAAAATATAATAAGATATATTTTTAACACTGTATCTGTCATGGGGTGAAAAAGTATTTTGAAGAAAGATTTTTATGGTTTGTTTTGTTAATTACATTTAGCTCTTTTTTGTTTTACAATTCTACCTTCCACATACAACAAAATAATGTATTTGTCACCAGGAACAACAAAGTTTCCGAACTGTGTCAGGTAAAACGTTGCATGAACGTAACAGTTATCAGAAATGACTTCACATGGACAAAGACACAAAAGAGTTGAAAGTTGAACATTTTCAGTTCTTCCAACACTGTTGCAAGGAAACAGTGGCGAGTGAAAGCACGTAAAGCTGATTATTGGGTTATTAGCATTAACAATCCAAGGAAGGAAGTTCTGTAATCAAATGTTCTCAACGATTGGTTCTGAAATACAGTACAGCTAGAACAACAAAAGATAATATTTTCACTTTTCAATCCCACCAGCCTAAGCCCAACATCATCAGGTCAGAATTATAGGGCTAAACCTGGTCAAAGCCCTACTACATTAATGTGACTGTACAAGTACAACTGGATTTTACTCTAATTTTAATTTCTTGTCAGATTATTGAAAGTATACAACTATAAAATAAAGACGTTCGATGTTTAAAGTATAGTCCTAATAAAAACAATCACCTATTGTTTTGATGCAGGTCCCTAAATCTCATTCTTCCTAAATTAGCTTATTCATTGGTAGCCTTTGGTATGTTGACAATATGGTTATTGAAATGTACTGTCCCAGTCAAATAAATAAAGAAATAAAAAATTAAAATTATCCAACTATACTCTGCTTTATGGGCTTGTTCACACTAAAGGGCACAAAAGTGTGACAAAAGGCCAAAAATTAGATTTTAATAATCAGAAGATATTTTATGTTTTTCATGTTTCCAAACACTTCCTCTGTCCATTAGAAGTTGCTAGAACATAACGGTTTTATACATTAGACAAGTTTCCTATAGCGGCCCTGTTTATTTTAAGTAACGGACGTGATGATTTGACGGAATGAGCTTTGTGGAAGTTTGATAGGTATTTTCAGATGTCCACATTTGATTCAGAGATTCTATTTTTTTTTTACACAAAGTAGATGCAAAGTGATACTTTCATATTGTCAAGCAATTAAATGTGAAAACAGACCAGATTTCTTTTTTCCTCAAGTTTAAATTTTAGAGAAAAGAGGACCGTCCTCATCACGTCCGTTATACATTTTTCAGGGGTCATTTAATTAATTAATTATTTTTTATTTTTTTACGATTCCTTTTTATATCAAGTGATTCCCTTCTGTTGTGTTAACCATGTAAATCTTGTGGGATTTCATCTTCTGCTTTTTCAGACTGAGGACATTTTATTTTCTATGTAACTGGCGTCACAGTAGAATGGTCCAATCAGAGGCTAATTTGGTCGTTTAAAATGTTGCTAAACATTTTTATGTCAATCTTTCCTTTAGATTTTTTCCACACTATCTCTTCAATCTGTCTGTGTTTGAAATCTTTTTTCCAATCTATGAAAGTAATTTTAGTTTTTAAGTTATAACATTTTAAAGTCTAGATACTTCAATTGTCACTTTACTGTGAACACACCATGGAAAATGTAGGTAGGAGTTTGATCTTAAACTGTGTAGAGATAGTTCCCCCTTATAATTAGAGTAAAGATCTAAACTAAAGGTCAAAACTACAGGAAAACTACAGGACCTCAGCTTCAAAAAGAGTCCAGCCATTTGTTTATAATCAGTTGAATATTTTGTGAAATGGAGGCGGTTTAGAGAAAAGGGTTGGAGTAGTAAGGGGTTATCTGTTATTTAACCCCCATGTGCCACCAGGGATAGATGACACATACACCACTGTTTGAGAAACCCTGGGTTCGGCAAATGCATTGGGTGCTGTTAGCTGCTTTAATGGGGAGTGAAACAGCAACATGACCGGAATCTTAATGCTTGTTTTCTTTACTGAAGCTGCCTGTTTGTCTTTAAATGCCTCCCTCGTTACATATCATCTTCTGGCCTCCCCTGTGCGCCCATCTGATGATCTCCGACCCCGAGACAACTTGCTGAGTGCAGCTGTTTACTCTCAGATGTCTCACTTTCTCTGCTGAATCATTGTTTTATTTTATTTTGTGCGTCACATGACTACCAGGAAGATTCAATTACCCTTTGCTCTAAAATGTCAAGCGAAGAAATAGAATGTGCTTAAAATGCATGTTTTGTGTTTCCTGCCAAAATACTTACAGCATGGAACCTGAGTCTATTGAAAACAGGATGCTGTCAGCAGGCAGTGGAAATTCCAAAGGCTATTGAAGAGACGCCGCTTACAGAAGTTCCTAATGTAGTTAATAACTCATGAAAGTATTAGTATATTTTTGATTATATGACCAGGTAAAGACAGACAGTACATCTATTAGGTACAGACAGTGTGAGCTGAGAGCTGCATCTAAATAAAGTGTGGGTGTGATTATGAATCTCAACCAGTGGCAGTATTCTATTTATGGGAGCTTAAAATAAAACTGTGAAAGGTCTAGAAAGCCGGCTTTGAAGTCCATTCACTGGAATGCTTAAAGTTAGTAATGTGGGATATTACTTCTCCAGTTTGACTCTGGATAATAGGGTTACCAATCATTTGATGTTCAGGGTTTTTATTATCTCATTAACATATGGTGAGTAAAAGCCCCAACATGGAGAATATCTGGAAATAGTGATACGTATCTGATAAGGTCAAATTATACATATTTGTATATATTCAGATACAAATATATATATATTTGTATCTGAATGCCATGCCCTTTGATATGAAATGTTTATAAGTACCCCAGTTAAGTATTACAATTGTCAAAATGCATGAACCATTCATTTCATGTGTTAATCAAACATATCCAGTTGGCAGATTGTAAGAACTGTGTTTTTTTTCAATGCATGCTCATTGAAATTCACACATTTCCTTTTATCTGGAGATACCCTCATTAGGAATGGCTACTACAGGAGAAAGATCCGTGAAAAAGAGGAACTTACAGTAAGTGCCTTGCCTCCTCATCCCATGACTGCTTATTCAGAAGTGTCTCTCCATAGTGCACAGAGCCCCCTCCTCTCTGGTGAACAGCGGACCACGGCAGCTCAAATTCGGGAAGCAATCTTCACTGGGAAAGACCACAAAGGAAGACATTGTAGTAAAGCTTGGAGAAAACAAGGCAAATGACCAACACCAGCTTGTTTCTGCAACTTTTCATGGGAATTTTTCTCAGTGTGGCAGGTCAGTCATTATCCATCTATCATGACCAATACAATCAATGGTTATAAAGTTAGGATTGGTTATTCCATTTGTTTTGCCAAAACCGTGTGTTTTAAGGCACTCGTCGTGTAAGCTGCTAAATCTGCAGCAGTTAAGCTATCTTATAAATGTTATGCTAATGAGTGAAAACATGTCATTTGAAATGTAATTCTTTTCTGAAGACAACACAATTTAAACATATTAATATAATTGTAAAGATTTTCATAGCTGATTTGTTTGGTAAATAGTTGAAGAGGAAAATACCAAATACCCACATTATATATTCGGGTGCCTGTTGAAGCGGTCTAAGAATCTTACATTTACAAACTACGCCCTCTAATGTTTAACTTTTTCTACTACAGATAATAAAATAATTATTATCTCATTTTAATTGAACAAAATAAATAAACTATAACTATTACATAAAAACTATTATATTTGTGTATTAATGTTAGTAATTATACTTATATGTTATCATTTATTTATTACACTTATTTTGTATTTTAAGCAGTGGCATGGCAGGCTCATGTCATTAACAATAATAAACTTTCCTGTTCTGGGAAAATAACAGTTTACTAATATATTCTGTATGAACACATCTTTTATTAGGTTCCCAGTCCCACTGTCCCATCACACTGGAGCCTTCAAGTGTTCTAATAAAATATGGGGAGAGCATAACAGTTAACTGTACCGCGGACTCTGAGCATGACGGTTTGGGCCTGGAAGTGACAGGATACAGCACTGGCCAGCAACAGGTCAATCATCAGTCTTGGACGCTGGACAATGTCACGGATCCGAGCACGGAGCTTTATTGCATCATGACCCTCAAGACAGGAGAGTCGTGCAACAAAAAACTTGACCTTGTTTTGTACAGTATGTATCTTTATTTTACTGACGTTGTATCCATCTGTATTCTGTATACATTTTGTGTGTTTATTTTTGTTATTGTTTTAATAGCCCGATATACAGTATTTCATAATATGTCAGGGCTCCACCTTTTCTATTTCATTTCAAATGTCGGAAAGAAATGTCCATGTGGACAGACTTGATCCCATTGTAATCACAGACTAGTGAATATGTCAAATGAATGGTATTGGAAGCTGTGGAATGACATTTTTTTCATAAAACCTACATTATATTTGTCCTAGCAGAAAGAGTCTTGTAGATATAAAATGAAAACTATTTTTAAATGTAAATAACTATAATAACTATTTAACAATCTGGGGTGAGTTAGAGTGGTCCTCTCTTTTTAACTGAACAGCTGATCTAAAAGATGTGAAAAAAATACATGCATTTGAAAACTATAGAACAAAGATAGGAAGAGAGCTATAAAGTTAGATGGATATATAGTATTTTTGTTATTTGAAAATAAGATTCCCCATCTTTGTCGTCCAAACAAGAATAAGAATGTTTTTAATACATTAGTTTAGTAAAATATTCACGTTACCATATTGAGTGCTGCTGTATCACCAAATGCAGTATCAAAATATACCAAAAGTTCACAATTAAGAAAACCATGTTATTTTAAAATATTTTCCAAATGTGCCCAATTTATTCATTTTTTTAAATTAACCTTGCTTTTTCAAGGTTGTTATAAGTTGGGAATGAAACGTGTCTAATCATTTCTTTTGTTATGATTTTGTTCAGATGTGCCAGAGAAATTCCAGATCATCTCCAATAACAGTGATGGTGCGTTGGAGGAAGGGGAAAACTATTACCTGAAATGTGAAGTCGAAAAGTTTGCTCCTGCTGAAAATGTATCAGTGCTGTGGTACAAAGACAACAGAGAATATCCCACGGAAACATTTAACAACTATTTACAAGAAATTCCAAATGCAAGTGAGATTAACTTTATCCCAACAAGAAAAGATCATGGAGAAAGGATCAGGTGCGAAGCCCAATTGGATCTCAGAAGCAAAGGACTCTACGTCAACGTTTCGTCACAAATATTCCAAATAAATGTGAAGTGTAAGTACATTATTCAGTTGAATTATGATAAATTTAACAAACCTGTTTTTTTCTTTTTTTAATCGTTGATGTTTTTATCCTGCAGTTCCTCCAAAATTGTTAAGTAGCGCTGTGGCAATTGAAGAAGGAGAGACCCTTGACAATAAAAGCCCCATAGAAGGACATGCCACTCTTAAAGTCGAGTGGTTTAAAAATGGACAGAAGATAAATTCGAGTGTGCCCCTAAGACGAGAGGATTCCGGCTCTTACAGAGCAAATGCTGAAGGAGTGACTTTTGATGTCATTTTTCATGTAGTATGTAAGTTGTTATCATTATTATTGCATTATTAGAGCAGGGGTACTTTTATTCATTATAAATAACACTTTGTCCAAACAGAAATTAAAAGTAAAATGCTGTGAACAAATCAGGCTACAACAGGCTATCTTTCTGTTACTAGAAATATTTGGAAGAAAGAGCCCTGTGAGTAACTACTTGTTGCTCAGGGAAGAGAGTTGATTGGCTGAGTGAGGCTCGTCCTCTCTTTTTCTGAAGATGTGACAGTGGCCAAAAAAACATGCTTGTGAAAAGTAGTGATAGACCCTACATTAGGTTTCCCCTACCACTAAAAACATGCACACTATAGGTTAAATCCTCCAGCTCTGGTAGTCCTGACCAAGCTGAGCATCAACAACTGGAGATGGGTGGCATGGCCTTAGCGGCATCAGGATGGGTCAAATGCAGAGGAGGAATTGCCCTACGGGGATTAATGAAGTGCACCTTTACCTCACCTTTACCTTTACCCAAACGGCTTTGCGAGCAAGGAAGTATTAGATAAATTGCATTACAATCCAATAGCCTTAGTTGGTTTAAAAATTAGGTTAGCTTTAAGTGTATCGAAATGAATCGAAATGTTCCTGATCTGTATCACTTATTGTCATATTTCCCTTAGATGGACCTGAGCTGAGGTGTGCACCTTTTTATACTGCTTTTGAAGACTCCACTAATCAGCTCAACTGCACAATTGGAGGCTACCCCAAACCAGAAGTTTCTTTGTACAAAGACGGTGAAGAGGACGGTGAAGTTTTAGGATATGATGAAGTTATTGGATATTTCCTAAAACCAACTCGTAAAGATTCTGGGAATTACACACTCGTCGCCTCGACAGAAAACCGCAATGTCACGCAAACGTTTGAGGTCTTTGTTCATTGTAAGTTCGAATATACTTACTCCACATCTATCTTTGTTTATTTTATTTTAACAATTTCTCTTTTTCAGATGCACCATCAGAGATTTTTGAGCTCGAAGACTCACTTTTCACTCTAGGCTCTTCTGTATCTCTAAAATGTGATGCCAGAGGGAACCCACGACCATTGTACCGCTGGGTTTATTATAATACTTCAAATGTCTTCGAGAAACAGGACGATGGTGTGTCGATTTTGGAGATTCACAATGCCACAACGTTCAACATGGGCAGGTACAAGTGCACTGCGATGAATGAGCATGGGGTAGTCTTCAAAACAGCAAGGCTCTATGTAAAAGGTATATACTCATTAACAATACATCTCATACAATTGGAATACAATACATTATATTACACCACATTAAGGCTTTTTTTGTACTAAAATGTGGTGCTCAAATTTGTTTCCTTATTCAGTACCAAGAAAGGCAGCCAAGTAAAAGGTTCAAATAACTTAGATAACACTGTTTTCATTTCGTATAACAATCAACTTTCCAGTCGGTCCACACTAGATTTTGAAACATGGCTGGCATTGGGGTTTGATATTGTTGTTTTGTAAAAGCTGCTTTCCTTTTGGGTTGCCTGTTAAATATTGTGTAAATTGCTTTAGTCATTAATTCAAGTTCTGTTTGTTGGGTTTTGTAATCTGGTTGAAATATACTCATTGGTTTTTGGTTTAGAAATGTTTATTTTTGAACCAGTTTTAGGCAAGACTTCTTGCACATGAGGCCAAATGGTGGTACTTGATGCGAAATGTTTGATCATTATTGAGTCTATAGTAATACAGTTACAATATTTAAAGTTGAGGTACCTATCACTTTCAAACAACTTACCATAGTTCCTTGCTCTCTACCCTATCAATAGTTATCACATACATCTACTTTATGGCCTTTCTCATAACTTTAGAGCAGCTATTTCAGACAAGTGAAAAAGAAAAAGAAGCACCCTCACTCTGCCAATCTGCCCAAAGCGTCAAATAGTGTCTTACAGGTCTCTTTCACCAGTATGTAAAAGGTTAAATGTTTTCCAGTGAGACAAAGTCAGCAAGATATGTTCGGATATGTTGACAACTTTAGACAAGCTAAACGTATTATTTATGAAACAAATTATTTCGGTACCTTAGCTTTAAATGGGAAAAGATGCATCGTTTTGGTCAACTAAAGTTATAACCACATTCACGGACGAGCAGCCAGCTGTACCCGAGAGCGTGTCACTGCTGGAGGCGGGACGGCCGTTTCCTCTCGCTGTGTGTGCCTGGTGCCCGCTATCTGGACCGGGCGCTCAACTTTTTCCCAAAGTTTTCCCAGTTTTCCCCGAGGACTTTTGTGGCCTGAGGACACAACTGTCTTTTGAGTCACTTTTAAGCTACGATAGCCACATATTATGAACTGAACGTGCGCTTTTAAATGGATTATTACGACGTTTTACGCGTTCTGGTGGTATGGTTCACTGCGCTGCCAACGCGTATTAATGCGGGTAAGATGTGCCATTTGTAAACTAGTCCACTGCTTGGGCTGTACATGCTTTTGTTTTGATTGCTTTTAGAATTGACGTGTGGCTGCTTGAGCTTGATTCAAATGGGTCTGGTCTTTTTGTGCTGAGTGATAAGAAATCTATTTTAAAACAAGAGTTTGAGTCGTGGCCATACCCTGACTTGGGAATGCGTGTGCGTAAACCGTTCAGTATAGCCTCAGCTAGACATTTATTTAGCCTTTTCTTTTCACAATCTCCCCTAAAAGTGTGGTGTTGACTATTATACCAAAAAAGAAGAGGATGGCAAGTGTAATGCCTTGAGTGCGCGTATGGGGTGGGGTATCCTTCCTGAGCCTTTTCCTGTTACCTCGTGGCTAGGGCACAGTTGTTGATCTTAAATGCTTCTTTCGTGTTGTAATCTAAATGAGATCCTCTCCTGCAGATGTCAAGCAAGAATGCCCTCTTCAAATAAGCCCGGAGATAATGGTGTTGGAACATAACGGTGAGGCGGCAAGTGCCACATGCAAGGCACTAGAACCTTCAAATGTCAAAGAACTTTACTGGATGGATGAAGGAGGGAATCAGACCAGCAGCACCTCTGAATGGATCGCTGATACACAACACTGGGATGTAAGGCCTGTATGCAAAGGAGACTTTCATGGACTAGGAAAATGCGAGAAGAGACTAGACCTTATTCTGTACAGTGAGTATGACTTATTTAAAAAACGTAAATAACACTTGATTTAACTGTGTGCATACATTTTCTGTAGAAATTCCCGACAGTGTTTCTATCAACATTGAAGGAGGTGATGTCCCATTAAAGGAAAATGATTTATATACTCTTGTTTGTGAAGTCACAAATGTTGCTCCTGCAAAGCAAGTCGTTGTGCACTGGTTCCATGGAAATGAATCATTCAAGTCTCAATCCGAAGGTATTTATTAGAAGTACTAGACTCTTCTTTGGTTTCTGTTAAATGCAACATTTTAGAACTTTGTTTTCTAATCAAAAGACAAAACAATTTATTTTAAATTTACTTCAGTATGGCAATGCTCCTTTGCATCATGATGGAACCTATGGATAAAGATTATGCCACTTCTTTATGTCCTTCTTTTCACATTGAGATCCCTGCTATTGAGCTGTATTCTACTCAAGTTTGAATATTAGGTGTTTAAAGACACGACAGAGGGCAACTAGTATACCTGGTAACTACTGTCCACAGTGCAGTGGTTTTCAGTCCAAAAAGTTCACAATTTTGCAGTTATAGTTTGAAAATAAACGTTCTATATTACCGGGAACATAGAAACTATGAGAAAATACTTACATTTTTGTACATTTGTGAAACCAGGAAGTGGGCAGGCACTTAACGGATCCATATTTTTTGAGTTAGATTTATTAATCTTTCTCTCCCCTTAAAGTGACAGACTGCTCATAATATCTGTTCAAATTAATTGTCTTTTTTGTTTTTCCTCAAGTCACTTGTGTTGGGTGTAATATCAACACAACCAGGAGTGTGACAATGCTGTTCAGAACAAACATCACTGTAGACAGAAAACTAAATGGAGTGGAGTTTTCATGTGAGGCTGTTCTGAACTTACCTGAAATACATCACCCACCCACCGTGTCCACACCGCTCAACATTACTGTTCACTGTAAGAACTTTCAACTAGCGATATGAACTGCATTCTCCTTTTGTTATTTATATTTCAAATCTTTTTGCCATCACAGATCCTCCCATCATTAACACATCAAAACTTTCAAGTACTGTCCCTGTGTTCAGCGGTTATTCTGAGGATCTAAAATGTGAAGCGGACGGAAACCCGCGACCAGAGATTAGATGGATATCGGATGTAGCCGTGTCGCCACAGCGCTCCAATGGAGTTCTGTCTGTGACGGGAAAGGGAATATACATATGCAATGCAACCAATCACTATGGGTCGGACTATCATCAAGTGGAAGTTATTGAAAAAGGTAGATCTTCATTGATTTATTTGGTAGGGACAATGTACATTAATGAACATCAGTATTTAAACAAAATAATTATGCCGGATTATAGCTACAAAGATAGTTTTAATCCTCTGTCTTTCAGTATGTTGTTTAGATCCAGAAATGAATATTGGGTTATTTAGACATTTCTTCTAAGAGATTATTTGTTTCATTTGGGTTGTTTGACTAAAAATACTTTGTAAATATGTTGTCATTCAACGGTCTTTGTAAGGTTAAAAAATAATTAATTGATTACTAAATTAGTTGACAAAAATTTAAATAATCAATTTTTTGCTATACATTTATTAAATTATTACAGCATTAGTTTTCGATATAAGAGAACCTTTATTGGTCCCACAGTGATGACATCACCGATGCTTGCTATAGAGATACAAGTCAATCCTAAACTACAGTAAACACAAATAGATGCTACAATTATAAAACAGGGCAAAACAAAAAGGAATAATTCAACTTAAACATGACTTTTTTTTAATAAATTTGTTTAGCAGTGGAATAATTTCAAGTAACATGAACATTAACAGGGGAAAAGTGCTAAATATTTCTTATAATTTAATTGGCTATTTCTTGTGACAGTGCATATTGATCTTTTTCTGACAATACTATATTATGATGCTTTCAACGGTATTCATGATTTTAATACATTTCTTCTCATTTTCTCAATGTTGTCTTCCAGTGGACTACCTGCCGCTGATAGCTGGATTTGTTGCAGTAACCGTAGTCATCATCTCTATTATTTTTGTCTTCATCTTCTCAATATACTACAAAAACACCAAGATGCGGCGCTACAATCTGAAAAACCCTAAATTTGGCATCCACAATCATGGCAACGTGGCTCACAATGGATGGGACCTGCCTTTACCAATGACCAAACTTTAAAAGCCTCTTCTTAACTAAGCTGACCACTCAACTCTAACTGCCATAGAACAAGTCTCTTCCTTTAGATTTTTTCAGGTAACACACAGTACAGTGCAAATGATCTAGTACATTCAACTAGGGTTAAAAGTAAAGTAAAAGTCAGTGCCTGGACGTGCCTGGACGGATTTTTAAAATGGTACAAAACCCATTATAAAATACTCTGGAGATAGTGTAGTAATAATAAAAGTAATAAATTGTACTCATATAGCGCTTTTTGGACAATCAAAGTCGCTTTACAAATAGACTGGTTGATTAAAAAAAAAGAATGTTAAGTGTAGGCAGTTTTAAGCAGCTTGGTTTTGAGCAGTGATTTGAAGGTCTGAAGTGAGTCTGGGTCGGATTGAGTTCCAGAGAGTGGGGGCAGCTGCAGCTAAGGCTAGGGTTAGGTCCCCTAAGCTTTGGCACTTTAATAAATCATAGTCACTCAAAACATGATTTTATTTTGTGTAATAAGGAATGAAAGGAAAGAAAGGATGTGGCACATTTATCCATGACCCAGACTTAATTTACTACATTTAATTTTATAGTTAAAGATGGACGTACGTTGTTTTTAAACAACTCACCTTTATAAATAGAATTTAAGCAGAGATTTACCAGGATTTCTTTATACAAAAGAATACATTTACCGACACTCTGCAATAAGAGGCTTGTTACTATTATTTTGTAACAAGGTTGGATTTTGATTACATAATATTTATGGTTTTCTCAACTGAAACATTTCAAACACGTTTGATAAAGGATCTTGATTTAAAACTACTGTAAGTAATTGTCATTCTGTGACAGTGAATATGTGAAAATACGTTGCATTTTGTTTTGAGCACATTGTTTTATTGTTTTAGTGAAAATGCACTTTTTATATGCATTAACCAACTCATGATTGTATATTTCTTCTTGCTTTTTTTTTTTTTTTTTTCATTATTCAATCATGTAAAGTATTTATTTATTATTTATATGACCTCGTAATGGTGTGACAACAGACTGCAAAGAATTGACAAGACTGGAGTAACATGCAAGAAATGTGTGTGAATACTGTACATACTTTTGTAAATGTTTATAATAAATCCAGACTTTTTAAATAGTAAGTGGTGTAACTCATACTTATCTTTTTCCTTCCTAACATAAAAACTATATATTAGTAGCAGTAGTAGTAGTGAATAATTCCCATAAACTCCTGAGTCATTATCAAAGCAGAAGTAGCTGTTTTAAGGTTGAGCAGCCTTCCTGTTCTGTGGTACATAGTGAACTCAACCACACAAATTGAATTAAGATGTGAAACTTCTCAAAACTTTTTAAACTCTGAATGAACTCGCAAGAAATCTAATTGATATCCCAGTTTCTTCGTCAGTACCGCGACCACACCTACACTAGAGATGTGATGCCTTTTTAAAAGATGAGGTCAAAGTAGGCATTCGTTTCCCCCATAGTAGCGATTGGCCATTTTCCTACCGCACGTGAAAGCAACACGGGACTTTGGTAAACTCCTGCGCTAACAACAGGAATGAAACTAAAGCAAGAAAACAACGCCTTTACATCAGTAGCTATCGTAACTAACGACAACACTTCTAAGTCGTGAATTTGTAAAAGTTTAATAGATAATATCGTTAAAGTGTAGTTAAGAATGGGTCAAAAAGTGTTGTGGTTGTTCGTCGTATGGAGCTGCTTCTTTTTATTCAAAGGTATGTACTGTAAAGCAAAGGATCTATTGTAATAACGTGTAAAGCCTGAGTTCGGTAAAGTCAGCTTGATATTCACAGATTCGGACTTCCGCCATGAATATCTCACGAAAGCAACGTTGTTAAACGAAAGTAATGGTGCCAAAATGATCACCTCTACTTAGGCTAACTACTACAACATCGATTTTTCAAATCCAATGCGCTGTTTTAATGCGGAGAAATCCATTCAATCCAAGTGCCGAGAAAAGCGCATAGGGAGCGTCAACAAGTATCAATACCAGCTTTGTAAACGAACAATAGCTGTTACTTGAAGCCATGTACACGCACAGAACTCTAGGACACAATAAATAACTAACACTTCTAACTTGTACAACCTTTGTTTTCAGCATTTGCCTCTTTTTTTATATTTTTTATGATGAAATATGACTACAAATCTTGAATAACTTTTTTTCTAAAAGGGGCGTGGTCACCAAATTCTCAGGTATGATCAATAACTACAATATCTAACTACTACAACTTTTGTTTTCAGCAGAAATATCTTTTTTATATTTTTTATGATTAAATATGAATATGATTTTTGAATAACTTTTTTTCAAAAAGGGGCGTGGTCACCAAATTCTCAGGTATCATCAATAACTGCCATATCTAACTACTACAACTTTTGTTTTCAGCAGAAATATCTTTTTTATATTTTTATGATTAAATATGATGAAATATGACTACAAATCTTGAATAACTTTTTTTCAAAAAGGGGTGTGGTCACCAAATTCTCAGGTATCATCAATAACTGCCATATCTAACTACTACAACTTTTGTTTTCAGAAGAAATATCTTTTTTATATTTTTTATGATTAAATATGAATATGATTTTTGAATAACTTTTTTTCAAAAAGGGGCGTGGTCACCAAATTCTCAGGTATCATCAATAACTGCCATATCTAACTACTACAACTTTTGTTTTCAGAAGAAATATCTTTTTTATATTTTTTATGATTAAATATGACTACAAATCTTGAATAACTTTTTTTCAAAAAGGGGCGTGGTCACCAAATTCTCAGGTATAACCAATAATTAAAATATCTCATGGGTTTGTCAGTGGTGTTGAAGCTGATTCCACAAAGCTGGATGTGGTCCAGTTCCACTGCTACGGAGATAAAATAATGTTCTATTGTAACAGGAATTACATTTCATTATTTTATGAGTAATATGCAAATACACATAGTATATACAATTATCAAATATCACATACCATTGTGCAATGGACACAACACTGCTCTCTTATCACATTCTGAAGAATTTGGTGACCACGCCCCCTTTTTAGAACAAAAGCTATTGAAGATTGATAATTAATCATAAAAATGTAACAAAGAGATAAATGCTGCAAACAAAGGTTGCAGTACTTAGATATGTTAATTATTGATTATAACTGAGATTTTGGTGACCACGCCCCTTTTAGAACAAAATTTATTGAAGATTGTGACACTTTTCATGTCAGGATGGCACTTATGAAGATGTTGGAGGAACAAAGTGCACACCCAGGGTGCAGGTTTATTTACATTGGAGCATGTCATGCAACACTCTCTCTGTTCAGAGTTGGTGGCCTGCTTTTATAGCATATGACAGTAATTAAGCAATACTAACTGCAGCCCTACAGCAATAATTAAAGTAGTGCTTTTACACTCTTTTTATTATTATTATTTAAATTTACAAATGATTTATTTATTCTAAAACTATACTAAACTGGAAAGATAAAACCCAGGAAACCCCTCCACCCTCTCTGCAGAGTGGATGAACCCGGAATCCTCTTTAGGTGCTCCGGCTCCTCAGGACTTATTTGGCCGGAACGCCTAAAGAGGGCAGACAAGGGAGTAAAAGATAAGTATATTTAAATGTTGTACATTTATTCATTTTCCTTAACTCACACTCTTTTCCTTTACAGGTCCGCACCTTCACATACAAATCAATCTTTAATAAATGTTTTAAAACATTAGAGTCTGTCTAATTCATACTCCTGTTAACCCTCGTAAAGGACTCTTCTCCATTTATAAAAAGCCATTGAAGATTCAATCATAAAAAATATGAAAAAAGGTATTTCTGCTAAAAACAAAGGTTGTAGTAGTTAGATATTGTAGTTATTGATCATACCTGAGAATTTGGTGACCACGCCCCTTTTAGAAAAAAAGTTATTCAAGATTTGTAGTCATATTTCATCACAAAGAATATAAAGAGAAAAATACAAAAAACAAAGGTTGTAGTAGTTAGATATGGCAGTTATTGATGATACCTGAGAATTTGGTGACCACGCCCCTTTTTGAAAAAAAGTTATTCAAGATTTGTAGTCATATTTCATCATATTTAATCATAAAAATATAAAAAAGATATTTCTGCTGAAAACAAAAGTTGTAGTAGTTAGATATGGCAGTTATTGATGATACCTGAGAATTTGGTGACCACGCCCCTTTTTGAAAAAAAGTTATTCAATATTAATATTCATATTTAATCATAAAAAATATAAAAAAGATATTTCTTCTGAAAACAAAAGTTGTAGTAGTTAGATATGGCAGTTATTGGTTATACCTGAGAATTTGGTGACCACGCCCCTTTTTGAAAAAAAGTTATTCAAAAATCATATTCATATTTAATCATAAAAAATATAAAAAAGATATTTCTTCTGAAAACAAAAGTTGTAGTAGTTAGATATGGCAGTTATTGATGATACCTGAGAATTTGGTGACCACGCCCCTATTTGAAAAAAAGTTATTCAAGATTTGTAGTCATATTTCATCATATTTAATCATAAAAATATAAAAAAGATATTTCTGCTGAAAACAAAAGTTGTAGTAGTTAGATATGGCAGTTATTGATGATACCTGAGAATTTGGTGACCACGCCCCTTTTTGAAAAAAAGTTATTCAAGATTTGTAGTCATATTTCATCATATTTAATCATAAAAATATAAAAAAGATATTTCTGCTGAAAACAAAAGTTGTAGTAGTTAGATATGGCAGTTATTGATGATACCTGAGAATTTGGTGACCACGCCCCTTTTTGAAAAAAAGTTATTCAAAAATCATATTCATATTTAATCATAAAAAATATAAAAAAGATATTTCTTCTGAAAACAAAAGTTGTAGTAGTTAGATATGGCAGTTATTGATGATACCTGAGAATTTAGTGACCACGCCCTTTTTGAAAAAAAGTTATTCAAAAATCATATTCATATTTAATCATAAAAAATATAAAAAAGATATTTCTGCTGAAAACAAAAGTTGTAGTAGTTAGATATGGCAGTTATTGATGATACCTGAGAATTTGGTGACCACGCCCCTTTTGAAAAAAAGTTATTCAAGATTTGTAGTCATATTTCATCATATTTAATCATAAAAATATAAAAAAGATATTTCTGCTGAAAACAAAAGTTGTAGTAGTTAGATATGGCAGTTATTGATGATACCTGAGAATTTGGTGACCACGCCCCTTTTTGAAAAAAAGTTATTCAAAAATCATATTCATATTTAATCATAAAAAATATAAAAAAGATATTTCTTCTGAAAACAAAAGTTGTAGTAGTTAGATATGGCAGTTATTGATGATACCTGAGAATTTGGTGACCACGCCCCTTTTTGAAAAAAAGTTATTCAAGATTTGTAGTCATATTTCATCATATTTAATCATAAAAATATAAAAAAGATATTTCTGCTGAAAACAAAAGTTGTAGTAGTTAGATATGGCAGTTATTGATGATACCTGAGAATTTGGTGACCACGCCCCTTTTTGAAAAAAAGTTATTCAAAAATCATATTCATATTTAATCATAAAAAATATAAAAAAGATATTTTTGCTGAAAACAAAAGTTGTAGTAGTTAGATATGGCAGTTATTGATCATACCTGAGAATTTGGTGACCACGCCCCTCTTTGAAAAAAAGTTATTCAAAATTCATATTCATATTAAATCATATTTATTCATAAAAAATACAAAAAAGAAACAAATGCTGAAAACAAAGGTTGTAGTAGTTAGATATGGTAGCTATTTATAGTATTTGAGAGTTTAGTGCGTGTACTTGGCTTAAAATAAAAACTATTGTTCGTTTACACAGCTGGTATTGGCATTTGTTGACGCTCCCTAAGTGCTTTTCTCGGCACTTGCGGCGCATTGGATTCAATGGATTTCTCTGCATTAAAACAGCGCATTGGATTAGAAAAATCGATGTTGTAGTAGTTAGCCCATGTAGAGGTGATCATTTTGGCACAATTACTTTCGTTTAACAACGTAGCTTTCGTAAGATATTCACCGCGGAAGTCCGAATCTGTGAATATCAAGCTAACTTTACCGAACTTAAAGCCTGTTGATTTTAAAGTTTACTTTGTAGTATTTCAACCAGATCTCTCCTCGTCCCCAGCACAGATTTTACTTTAGTTTGGCGTGATTTTTCGTCTACGCCCATTTTTGATTCCGTTAATGAAGTTGGGGAGAACGTGTAGCACGCAACATTATTACAACAGGTTTCTATCAATGAATATTTATCCACAGAAGTACGATGTAAGATACGTTTGTTTGGATATTTAGGCCGTTTCTGTGTCAATTACCTGAACTATGAATAGGACTGCCCTACTGTATATAGTTTCAACTTCCACCACTGTATGGTTGGCGAGATATTTCACGCATCTTTAATTACTGGAATTTCGGCGAGTGTTGACATTAATGTGTAATAATGCGTATTTTAATTGAAATGTTACAAAGAGGTAGTCAAGTATTCCCTCTAAAGTATAGGGCTGCAACAACTAGTACTAGTATTATGATCATCGTAATCGTTACGAAAATGAGACAGACATTTTAAATACGTATCTAACCCTTTCAACAAAGACAGACGAATTGTTTTATAGTTCATCAAATTGTAATAGCATTTGTAGAGTCTTAATTTGTCTTATCTGTAAATGTGTAAAAATCCAAAAGGAAAATAACCAACATGACTCACTTACTGAATGTACAGATGGTGTGACTAATATTTAATAAAGTCTAGATAACCGTCTTCTGAAAAAATCATTAGTAAGCACTTTCTAATAATAATATACCCACTGTCTGATTTATGTGACTTTCTCGGGTCACTAAAGGTTACACTCTTTGTTTCCCTTCCTCTGCAGGGCAGTCAGTGAAGGCAGGCTGTCCCATTGTCATGACCCCATCCAGAGTTGTGGTGAAATATGGAGACCCACTGACGGTCAACTGCAGCTCAACTATCGACCAAGTCGAGTCATTAGGCTGGGAGTCGAACGTCAAAGGCACTCCGGCCACAAATGCGCATCATGTTCTATTAAACATTGAGAAAGTAGACGAATGGGAACTGGAGTCTGAATGCTTCTTCAATTTTAAAAATGGATCACAATGCATTGAACAACTGCCGATCATAATTTACAGTAAGTTACCCTACTCATAATATTTCAGTGAATGGACTTCTTTGTGCCATTAGTTTAATACTTCTGATTTCCTCATAAAATACACATTTGTGACTTTTGTGACTTGGTTATTACTATTATTAATTGTTTAATATACTTATAACACAATAAGTATGATGTACATATAATGAGACTGTTCATTTAGTAACTTTTGTCACAACACCTAGTTTATATAATATTAGGTACATGGCATATTTTTACACTTTTTATTTGTGTCTTTGCAGAACCACCGGACAGTGTGTCAATAGTGGCTGATAAACCCATGGAGGAGCTCAAAGAGTACACGTTGCAGTGCATTGTGTCCAATGTGGGACCTTTGTATAAAATGACTGTAATATGGTACAAAGGGGACACAAAGATTGAGCAGCAGAAGCTTGCGTACACGGCTGGTCCACCACCATACAACCAGACGCAGTCCTCTTTCATCAAATTAACACTCGACAAACATGATCATGGAAGAAAAATAGTGTGTGAAGCCAAGTTTGACTTTGAAGAAATAGGCTTTAATATACCACCAGTCAGATCAGCTCCACTGGATCTCCAAGTACTATGTAAGTCATTGAAATGTTCACAAAATATTGTTGAGGGTCCAATGGGAATGTAACAGCAAAATGCAGTTCAGATCTGTGGCAAAATAAAACTAAGAATTTGTGTGTAGTAAGTGAGTCAAGATTCTTTGAGCTTTACATGATAGTGGCTAAAGGTCGTTCTTTAAATTCAATTTCAGATCGACCCATTTTTGAGGAGACCAAAGTGGAAATGATTGAAGTCCCGCCTAATGGTGAAATAATTTTGAATTGCACTGCTCAGGGAAACCCCATGCCTAATTACTTCTGGCAGGTCCCACAGGCCTCTGAGCAGGCCGTGGGGCATCAGCCTGTGTTGAGGCTTCAGGGGGCATCTACAGGGACTTACAACTGCACTGCATCCAACTCCCAAGGCTTCAGCACCAAGCAGTTTATCCTCACAGATGCTCCAAGTAAGATAATGTGTCTCCATTACCCTTGATCTATATTGTGTCTTGTCATTAAATGCTTTTTATACTGTCCCTCGTCAGGAAGTGCCCCAGGAACCACCGCTGGAATATTAGTGGCTGTATTTTTTGTGCTGATTTCGATTTTAGTGTGTGCAGTCTATTATAGACAGAAAAAAATCTTTTGATGCATAATGACACTAAACTGCCATTTTCCCACAGGGGACTACACAGTGCTAGCAGCTGTGGTCGGAGTCCCGGCAGCTCTGGGCGTCTTACTCCTCCTCAGTGGACCATTTATTGTGACGAAAGAAGGGACTTTTTCACTCGGCAAAGGATCTCAAGTTATATGAGTATTATGTGTGTGCGCTTTCTTCTTAGACATGCTCTGTTCTGCGTGTTTATTGGGTTGGGTTCTTTGTGATGCATGGCTGACATTGTGCATGCATGATGTTATCAGCAGCCTCTAAAGCACTAAATAACATTCTTGACTTTCATCAACAGTACTGTATGAATATCTCAAGTCATTCAAATGAAAATTGTTACTGAGAACTTCCGGAAAAACAATTCTTTCTTTGTTTTTATGTGCATTCTTTTTTATATACCAACTATTAAACAACAAATACAACAAAACAACTGCATTGAATGTAAACCATGGCCATGGTGCACCTCACCACATGTAGAGCCGGAATGGATGCAGCTAATAATTTCTTTCATTTTCATTTCATTACACTACAACTCAACTGATACAGTAATATAATATGTCGAGGTTCAGTGCCTTGCGAAAGTATTAGGCCCCCTTGAACCTTTCAACATTTCGCCACATTTCAGGCTTCAAACCTAAAGATATAAAAAAATATTTTTTTGTCAAGAATCAACAACAAGTGGGACACAATCGTGAAGTGGAACGAAATTTATTAGATAATTTTAACTTTTTTAACAAATAAAAACTGAAAAGTGGGGCGTGCAATATTATTCGGCCCCCTTGCGCTAATACTTTGTAGCGCCACCTTTTGCTGCAATTACAGCTGCAAGTCGCGTGGGGTATGTCTCTATCAGTTTAGCACATTGAGAGACTGGAATTCTTGCCCATTCTTCCTTGCAAAACAGCTCGAGCTCAGTGAGGTTGGATGGAGAGCGTTTGTGAACAGCAGTCTTCAGCTCTTTCCACAGATTCTCGATTGGATTCAGGTCTGGACTTTGACTTGGCCATTCTAACACCTGGATACGTCTATTTGTGAACCATTCCATTGTAGATTTGGCTTTATGTTTTGGATCATTGTCCTGTTGGAAGATAAATCTCCATCCCAGTCTCAGTTCTTTTGCAGACTCCAACAGGTTTTCTTCCAGAATGGTCCTGTATTTGGCTCCATCCATCTTCCCATCAATTTTAGCCATCTTCCCTGTCCCTGGTGAAGAAAAGCAGGCCCAAACCATGATGCTGCCACCACCATGTTTGACAGTGGGGATGGTGTGTTCAGGGTGATGAGCTGTGTTGCTTTTACGCCAAACATATCGTTTTGCAATGTGGCCAAAAAGTTCGATTTTGGTTTCATCTGACTAGAGCACCTTCTTCCACATGTTTGGTGTGTCTCCCAGGTGGCTTGTGGAGAACTTTAAACAAGACTTTTTATGGATATCGTTGAGAAATGGCTTTCTTCTTGCTACTCTTCCATAAAGGGCAGATTTGTGCAGTGCACGACTGATTGTTGTCCTATGGACAGACTCTCCCACCTCAGCTGTAGTTATCTGCAGTTCGTCCAGAGTGATCATGGGCCTCTTGGCTGCATCTCTGATCAGTCTTCTCCTTGTTTGAGATGAAAGTTTGGAGGGACGGCCGGGTTTTGGTAGATTTGCAGTGGTCTGATACTCCTTCCATTTCAATATAATTGCTTGCACAGTGCTCCTTGAGATGTTTAAAGCTTGAAAGCTTGGGAAATCTTTTTGTATCCAAATCCGGCTTTAAACTTCTCCACAACAGTATCTCGGACCTGCCTGGTGTGTTCCTTTGTCTTCTTGGTTCTCTCTGCGCTTTAAACAGAACCCTGAGACTATCAAAGAGCAGGTGCATTTATACGGAGACTTGATTACACACAGGTGCATTCTATTTATCATCATCAGTCACTTAGGACAACATTGGATCATTCAAAGATCCTCACTGAACTTCTGGACTGAGTTTGCTGCACTGAAAGTAAAGGGGCCAAATAATATTGCACGCCCCACTTTTCAGTTTTTTATTTGTTAAAAAAGTTTAAATTATCCAATACATTTCGTTCCACTTCACGATTGTGTCCCACTTGTTGTTGATTCATGACAAAAATTTAAATTTTATATCTTTATGCTTGAAGCCGTAAATGTGGCGAAGTGTTGAAAGGTTCAAGGGGGCCGAATACTTTCGCAAAGCACTGTACATATGCTCAAGTGAGTTCTTTTTGCACTGAAAACTGTGATTGCTTTTGTCGCATTGTCATTGGTTGAATTGTCAATGTGTTATGTGAACCACTCTGTTTACAACTACTTCCATGTAGAGAAAGCTACTCTACTCAAAATAGTGAGGGTAAAACGTTGGTTGCTTTTATATTACAATGATTGTGTGTTTTAAATAAAGAGCTTATATGTTTTTCACTTCCTGTGTTTCGAATGCTGATTGTTAAAGCCCGGCATGGATCTTATTCCTGCCACATTATCTCATCTCTGTGTCTAATATACACACTGCATGGTCTTCCATACAAATGAGCCGAGACAGAGGTAAATGTAAAGGGGAGCTGCCAATTCAAATGAGCCGTTTCTGAAAGCGTGTTCCTTATGTTAGCGCTGGTCATTCCCACCAGAGGTCCTGCCAGAGCTCTGTTTGTGTATGCTCCAACTGTGCTGCTATGGAAACCACAAGGACATAGCTCAAGTTTCTCATAGAGTGAACATTTTAGTTTTGATCCCAACTATGTTCATTTATATAAGAACTGGTCATACTAGCATAAGTGCCTACATAACGCTCACATTCCCAGATGCACTCTTCAGAAATACATTTGATCACTCATTGCACTGCAGAGATTGCTTTGAGACAATCACGGTATGGAGTTCAACAATTATTACAAACTTTCAATACACTTGCAATACTTTTTTCTCAATGAAATGTATTTTTGCACCTCCTACCACCTGCTACATCCCCCTCTTTCACTTGAACCCCCCACCCCCAAAGTCATCTGGATGAAGGGGGCCCTTTTGTCCCAACATAGTTCCCTGCAGAGTTACCGAGCTTGTTCTGGAACTGACTTCGTCTTTTTAACTACAGCTATAAAGAATAAAATGGATAACAACACTTTGATTGGCCTTATTTTGTTTTGCATGTTTGTCTCTGGTAAGTTTGCACAAATGTATTACTTTCTTGCATATTTTTTTACTGTACTCGGCCATGTCACTGAGGCAGCAGGGGTGTTTGAACCTTCTGGAATAACATCTGAAACGTATGTATATATTCACTGTATTGTGTGATGTTGGCATTACTTTTATTATCATGAAAGGCATTATAATATTCAATTATTATTTCAAGTTTACAAGTAGTGTATAAGCTTCTTTGAACATGTTTACCGGTACAAACCTGCTCATTTCTGCAATGGGGGTCACAAGTTATTTGTCAGGAGCAAAGTTTAAAGTTAGAGTCATAGTCCTAAATTGTAGTCACTGTCGAGAAATGAAGACAAGGAAGTTGCAATTGCACCTGTACCACGGTTTATTTTCGAGTCCTTCCAGATCGAACAAGAGGATACAAGGCTTTTTGCATGATTTGTAACAATGTGCATGAGAACAAAAATGTCACTTGACGCATGCTTAAGATATAGATACATTCAATAATACGTTCAGTTCTTCAGATAAGAATGTTTAGCAGTAATCCAGTAATAACAAGGGTCAGATTCCACATCACACAGAGCTCATAAGCCTGTTGCAATAATAATGTAATCTCTCAATGTGCTCAATCCTATGAACATTTTCTTTGTAATAGTGGACAGAATTGGTTGAATAACTATGAGCAACTAAAATGTATGCAAATATAGGTCTTGTGCTTCCAAATGACACAGGGTTAACTACATGATTTCCAATTTGTAGTCTTTTCTAACTAAGAACATTACTGTAAAACTGACTTCCTCAAATAGAATAGTACATAAAAATGTCATCAGAAAACTAAGAGGCGCAATTTTCTCTCAGAGATTGTAACCATTGTTGAGGTGGATGGATTGCTGTTGTTCTGAACATATGAATTTCAAGAAATTTCCAAAAATTAGATTGCAGGTACAGTCATTCTGTGCAGTTACATTTCTGCATTTTTTGTTAGTTTTACACAGTGCTTCACACAGTAATCAACTAAACAGAAACCGGGATAAAAAAAATACATTCATATGTTTGGCCCTGTAATTTGGGTACCTGCAGAGCATTTAGTTGTACCGACCTGATGCATCTGAATGTGCAGTTTTAGGTGATGGATGCTCCCTGAGTCTGAAGCCCTCGCGGGTGGTGGTGGGCTTCGGAGAGGCAGTGAGCGTCCACTGTGAAGCCACCCGGCCGGTGCGTGTCCTGGGCTGGGAGTCGGCCATTGGCTCCTCTCACACTCAGCAGGAGCAGTCTGTGCAGTGGAAAGTGGACAGTCTTATTGATTGGATCGAAGAACCCATTTGTTATGGAGTGTTTCACACGGCACCAAGGCAGTGTGAGGAGAAACTGAACCTGGTCTTATACAGTAAGTCATCTCTTTGAGACAAACTCACCTTAATTCCTTCATAGCTCTGTAGTGTGATCTATCATCTGCCCTTTCTGTTTCACACATTTCCAATTATGTCTAAAGAAAAAGCCTGAAATGTAATTGGCAAAAACACTCTATGAGAACAAAGTAACACATAGGCTTGTTGTGTAGTTTGTCATTTAATTTTACATATATAATATTGTTTTTTGGTGAAAAAGAAAACATAATTCAAAACAATTCTGAATCATGACATGTAAATGGCTTTGCAGAAATGTCAATTCATTATTAAATTGAGGAAAAATATATGTGATGCATATGTGTGTACTGTATGTTGTGATGTATTTTATTTTATCAATTACATATATAATTGGCATATAAGTAAATAATGTTGTGTTGTTTGCAGAGAGCCCAGATGGCGTCACTATTCGACCTGTGGAGCACACTGGGCCGATGGTGGAGGCAAAGAAATACCAGCTGTTGTGTGAGGTGCAGAACGTGGCTCCAGTTCAGTATCTCAGCCTGAAGTGGTACAGGGGAGACAAAATGGTCCATAACCACTCCTTTACAGACCTCACATCTTCCACACCTGTTCAAGTGTCCTCCATCCTTGAGATATTTCCAACCAGAGCTGAAAACGGAGCCAGCTACAGGTGTGTGGCAGAGCTAGAGCTAGGACCAGAGGGACCACAGCCGCCTCCCAGCATAACCTCTGCATCTCTCAATGTCTCTGTCAACTGTGAGTTAGTACTTTGATTTTGGTTGATAATACTTAAAGGATTAAAGATAAATGTTTTGATTTGTTCTTAAAATAGTTTTGTCATGAGAAAAGTCATTGTTTGTTTAAATTTACTGCATCACTTTAAATCATATAAACAATACATTTAAAAAAACCTAGACACAGAGGTCTTGTTTGAGAAATTCAGGAAGAAACGCAAATAATGTTCATCAGAATTCTTACAGACTAATACACAAAACGCCCCATCAGCTGTATATAGTGTTCACACAAGGTCAAGGTCAATAAATACACTATACCAAAATATCGGACCATGATTGGAAATGTTTGTATGTGGAATGTTGGTGTCAAATTGACACCAACATTCCACATAACTTGAGTCTGGATTTGAAACACTGTTCATATATGTTTGTGATTAACAATGAAAATATTGAAAATGGTTTAGTTCCAATCTGTTCTGTTTTTTTAATGATTTTTCTAAAATTTAGTCTTGCTTCAATGTTAGAAAGAGAAACAAGAATAGATGCAGATATATATCATCGATTTGCCCGCTGGTAAAGGAGTTGGGAATTGATAAGTTGTACTTTTTCACAGTCCTTTTCAGACATGCCTAATTATAATGCTGCTTGTAGTGACATATTTGCGTTTACAGTTACATGTTTGAGGTAATCAATCAATCAGCTCTCAAATATATAATTGTAATGTATTTTTTTTCTTTGTCTAGTTCCGCCAACATTCATTGGGTCTGAAACAGAAGTGGTGGAGCTAATATCTGGAGCTGAAATGACTTTAAACTGCACTGCTTTGGGGCACCCTCCCCCTGTGTACAGCTGGCTATCACCGTCCTCCACACAACAGACAGGGGATGAGGCAGTCCTAGTTTCCTCCTCACTTGTACCAGGAGCCTATATTTGCACGGCCTCAAACTCACTGGGAAAAAAGAGCAAGACCTTCATGCTTAAGGCAAAGTCCAAAGGTAAGAAGCCATTCTACTGATGAGGAAATGATCAAACCTACTCATACTTTTCTCTTGCTTCAATTTAGGTGTTTAAATCAAGCAAGCAACTCTCAATCAAAACAAGGAAACTTTTCAACTATTCTTGAATTTATTTTTCATAAGAGGAATTGTATTTCTGCTGATGTAATGGCAAATTGGATGTATTTATGTATTCTTAATTAAGCTGTTATCCAACTGATTAGTGACACTAATACTATACTTGTGTATGTATATATATATATATATATATATATATATATATATATATATATATATATATCACTAACATTTAGTAAACTGTGGCATTTTATGTTTTCCCAATAATAATAACATTCCTTAATTATATTTTTTAAATACATACATATAAAAAAGCATACACAAATAGGCCATTGTACAATGAATTTCATCTGCAGATTGGAAATGACACTGTAAATACGCCCTGCCTCACATTTCACTTTATAAATAAATGTTTTTATCATGTACATAATGATTCATATTTGACCACAAGATGTCACCGTTTCACTACACTTCTCTACGTTTCATTGGACCTCATGAAGTCATGTGACAAAAACATAGCATTTGAGCAGGAAGTAAACTGGTAGCTAATGACCTTTTAATAGCTCTCTATTTTGTCTAAATGAAAACAATTTCCCGAAACAGGTAAGCATATCGCAATAAAGTGTAATTTGCACTAAACTTAATGACTTATATGAAATACAAGAAAAGTGAATACCTGTATCGTATTTTTCAGAAAACATGCCCCAACTGAAGGACCCATGTCAAAAACAAGCATGTGAAATTCAAAAGTGTTTGCAAGGTATTGACAGTCTATGGTATTGACACTAGTAGTGCTATTGTGACACTAAACCGTTATAATAAGCCGATGCATATAATATCATGCTCTTCTCTTTATAGCTAATAAATACCTGGAGAACATGTGTGAGGATGTCATCAGGGAGATGCGTCGCTGCTGCAAAGTTCACGCGGAAAACTCCATTTGCTGCTCGGGTTTCAAGAGCCCCGCGCCAGCAGACAGGGCAGAGACGTTATAGTCCGAGGGGGCCCTGGCCTTTGGTGGAGCTTTAGGAAATGTATTTGTTTAACTGTCATTATTTATACATTTAATAAAACAACATATTATCATTGTCCAACGTGTTTACTTCTAAACCTATTTTGGGACCCAATTACACCATTCGCTTAAAAAACATTTGTGAGTACATCTGAGTTAGGAGCTAGTTAAATGGATAGATAGATGGTTAGATTGTTAATTGTATATATATATATTTATATATACACATTATTTGTATATTATCTTGTTCTGTTATTTCAAATAATCATAGCATAGTTAGTTCAGTTATACTTTCACATGAAACACATGAATGTATTTATTTATCATCTGTAAAGCTGTCCACTTAATATTGAAAATGTATTAATAGTAGTTATTAAAGTAAGTAAATCTTAGAGGATGCGTAATTTTCTTTTTTTAAAAGAAAAGTTGGCTCAGCGGAAAATCTTTGCGTACAAATTACGTAATGACGTCAGCGGAAACGGGAATTCTTCTAGAATCCTGTAGCTTTGACGCTAGCTCATGCTCGCTGCTCTATCAAAGTTATTTCCTGGGTAAAATCTGCGAAAGGGGGATCATACACCTAACGATTGTAAAACAGCACCATTTCTTTCTAGAATCTTGCAGATTCAAGCTTGTGGTAAGCCACGTTTAGCACAGAAAAGTGCTTTAGGTAAATCCAAGGCTAGTAATATTGTTGGCGATAGTACTGGTACTGGCACAATGTCCAGGATAGACTACAGTGTTTGGGACCACATCGAGGTGTCCGACGATGAGGACGATACTCACCCGAATATCGACACCCCGAGTCTGTTCAGATGGAGGCACCAGGTCAGTCGGGTTTCTTTCGAGTGTTACTGGTACATTAGGCAGAACCAGTCATTGCCAACGTCCTGCTGCTTCTTCCTAGTCGTTACCATAGATTGATTGTTTATATGTGTGTAGGTAGTAATATGTTAAGATGTGAATCAGATGTTAAAAATAAAAAACTGCATGTTATTCAGACATTTCATGGTTCAAACAGAACAAAAATCAGAACATGGTTGAAGGCTAAATGAATAAACTCTTCCATCTTGTTTCTCTACAGATGCAATACATCGTGCTATTTATTGCTTAATGATAATATTATACTATTAGTGTGCATTTTTTATTTTTACAGATTTGAAATGTGTCTAAAAATCTTGTTTTGCATGCTGTGGAGGTCCCACAGTGAGAGTGTGGGGACCCCCACACAGCATGCAAAAAGAGATTTTTTCTGTATCAATGGTCTTAATCTGACTAAATATTGTCACCACAGGCACGTGTAGAGCGAATGGAAGACTTTCAAAAGAGGGGCGAAGAATTAAATAAAGGACTTGGCGATTGTCGACGCAAGCTTGCAGACGCACAGAAGAAGTTAAAGGAGCTGACCATATCGGGCGAAGCCAATTCAGATCTTAGTAAAGTTCAGGCAGAAGAAAAGAAACTTAAAAAGGAAGAGCGGGAGTGGGAGAAAAAAATAGATGAGTTTAACCGAGAGGAGAAAAAGATGCCGTGGAATGTTGATACTCTCAGCAAAGAGGGTTTCAGCAAGGTGAGCAAAGTGTTCTTTTGTCATTTTCATTCCATGTAATATTCCACGCTTCAAGAGCTTTTGTCATTCACCCACTCATTACTTAGATGAAAAGTTATAATTCAAACTTACCTGCCAGTGTTGTGAACATTCCCCTTTTCACTACACGCCTGCTGTTATTTAATTTGATGGTTTGTTAAAACAAAAACCACTGCTTTCGACATAAACAGTTTAAAAGGGCAGGGATAACTTAAATGTGATTATCTGCCAATTGGTTTCTTTTATTAAATAATGTCCGAACCTAATAGAGATTTAAAATTATAATACCTATAATCTATTGACATGCATATGGCTACATACAGCATCAGACAGAAGTTTACTTTTTGGCCTGTAGAAATTAAATTAGTACAATTTACACCTTTGGCCTTCTGACTTCTCACAACTGAATTCATACTATAGAGCATCTGCCAGAGTAAACTCACTCAGATCCAGATGGAGCAGGATGTAAACTCCACAAAGAAAGGTCATTATGTAAATATATGTGTTCATCTTTTTGTTTTGTGTCATCCAGAGTGTTGTAAATGTCAAAGTTGAAAAAGAAGAAACTGAAGAAGAGAAGGAGCAGAAGCATAAAACATTTGTTGAGAAATATGAAAAGCAAATTAAGTATTTTGGTAAGTTTTAAGTTCTGCCATGGCAAACATGAACATCAAATTAAACCAAAATACTTACATTTTACAATTGTATTATTGTATGTTTTTGGCAGGCATGTTGCGACGTTGGGATGACAGTCAAAAGTATCTGTCTGATAACTCTCATCTTGTGTGTGAGGAAACTGCAAACTACTTGGTTATTATGTGCATTGACCTTGAAGTTGAAGAGGTAATCATGGTTTAATAAAAAAATGTTGTTTCTCATTGTACTATGTAAATCAAAAAATAAGTAATAAATGTTCTGCTTCTAGAAACATGCCCTGATGGAGCAGGTTGCTCATCAGACGATCGTAATGCAGTTCATTTTAGAATTGGCCAAGAGTCTAAAAGTGGATCCCCGTGGGTGCTTCCGACAGTTTTTTGCAAAAATTAAGGTATGATCCAACACACCCTAATTTAACAAAGCCTTTTATATATTCTTGATAATCTAGATTTGTATTTTTATTGTGTGATAGCAGGATTTTTTTGATGCAAACAGAAATATCCATTAGCAACTGCGCTTCATTGTAATTGATTAAATATAACCTTGTCCTCAGACAGCGGACCAGCAATACCAAGATGCTTTCAATGATGAGCTAGAGTCCTTCAAGGAGCGTGTTCGTGGGAGGGCAAAGATTCGTATTGAAAAGGCCATGAAAGAGTATGAAGAAGAGGAGAAACAAAAGCGTCTGGGGCCTGGCGGATTAGACCCTGTTGAAGTTTACGAGTCTCTTCCTCCTGTAAGTTTTTCACTTTTGCTTTTGAATGTTTACTTTTCAGTCCGTTGATTTAACACACCGTTTTCCTATTGACAGGAAATGCAAAATTGCTTTGATGAGAAGAATATCCAATTGTTGCAAGATGTAATAAGTAAAATGGACCCAACGGTAAGTTATCACATCTGTAGTGGTAGCCTGACCTTAACCCTGTATTGGTAAAGTGCTTTTGTATTTACTGTAATGCAATTATATTATTCAGTCAACATACATTCAATCACTTTCAATTCAAAATGTTAGTAATGTCTACAATTGCACCTGAAGCAACCCAATGACAGTCCGACTAATGAAATGTGTATATTTACAGGAGGCGAAAATTCACATGAAAAGATGCATAGACTCAGGATTGTGGGTCCCAAATGCCAAAACAGACGAAGGTGAGGAAAAGGAGGAGGAAGCGACGTACGAGGAAGTAAAACAGGAACCTGAAGAATCAAAGAAAGAGTAACTAACTGTTTGTGTAACATTTTAATCCAATTTTACTCTCACTGGATTGTACGCTGCCACATGTATTAATATTATTTTGCTCATCAATGGAAGTAGTTAGATCGAAACTATTTACTGCACAGAATCTGGTTGAATTAAACCGTAATTCTTGTTGGGATCTATTTCTGTCGGTGGTCTTTTTTTGTTTTGTTACGTTGTTGGCATTTATGACCAATTGTTTGCTCCATACACATGCATAGAAATCCACTGTATAATTTGTCTCTTTTCAGTTTTTTACCTCTTAACAATTCCCTCAATACATAATTTGTCCACTCCTATGTTTTTGCTACAAAATGCAACCAAGTAACAGCTTTTGCATGAGTTATTTTAGGCACCTGAGACTCCTATTGTCTATTGCTGTTGAAAGGGGTGAACAATATTTCATTTTATTTTTTATTTGTAATGTAATGGTGTTTGACTCTTAATATGCGTGTAGACAAGGAGCTTTGCTTTTATGAAATATACTCAACAATAAAGACATGTTTCTAAAGCAAATGTGAGTGCATTTTTTAGACCTCCAGAAGTTGACAGATTTTAATACCTAACTTTTCTTTATAAATATTTACCCCAACAGATTTATAAAGGTAAAATGTGGGCAAATTAGATCACAACACGCTGTCTTCATCTTATGAGTAAGTAAAGTAATCTTTATTTATACTCATCTTTTACAGACCAGAGTCACGAAGAGTGCTTTACAATTGTGGGCATTTGTACATGCTTTTAGTGGTGGGGGAAACCGGAGGAAACTTATGCAGACACGGGGAGAACATACAAACTCCACTCAGAAAGAACCCAGAGTCAGAATCATAGAGCCAGCCAAAAACGTGTTGTCACTTGTCTTGTGACGCTACTGGGGGCGTGGCCGCGCTGCTTGTTTCGGGAAGTACCTTTCACAGATCACCCACAGAACAACGCGAAGATTGAGATGGGGCTCACTTCAAATGAAGGCTAAAATCACCTCACCGTGTTAGTAGTGATCATTTAATCCATCCATGGTTAGTGATCGTTATGTCACACCGACAACGTTCCGCAGTGAAAAGGTAAGACTTTCCTTAGCACATTCGTAATGATATCTATTTCTGTTGATATTAGTAACTCAGTGCATTCGTTATATCATCTACTATAGTTTGTTATTATACATTAATTGCAATTCTATATTTGCTAAATGTTCGAAGTTTTACCGAAGGCTCACGCTAAAATACCGGAAGTAACTCAATTTGTTTTATGTTGTTTCATCAAACATTTTTTACTCGAACACTAATGGCAGTGGATCTGATTCCGCTTCGTCTAATATAAGAGTTATGCCCATATTGTTTGTAGTGCCGCTGCAATTGATCGTATCTGCCCGATATTTTTCACTGTTGCTTTCCTTGTTTCCATTTTCTCTGTGTCAAAGTGATTCCCAGTTCACCATGTTGAGGAATACATCATCAAAGAAGCGTTCGCAGTCCTGTCCTGGTGTGAGTGATGCTCCTCAGGGTCCAGGTGTGCACGTGTACTTGCTCTGGACCCCCCAGGGGGAACGGTATCTCTCCAAAACATCTGGAGAGGTCTCAGCAGAGGAGCTGTGCATTTCAGCTGCAAAGGCTGTAGGTAAGAACAGTATCAACATGTGGATAGGAGACTTTATTTCTAAATGTCTGTCTTTTATGTTTACATTTGGTTTAGACATTTATATGCTGCCAGAGAAGCACAGCTAAACATGTTTTAATCAGAATCAGTATAATTTAATGCTATGTAAGTAACAGGAAGTCACAAGTCGTACAAGTCGTACAAGTCCTGCAGTGATGGGAGGCCGTGGCCAATCCCTCTTTCTGCAGAGCGCACAATGCGCTGTAGTTTCTGCTTGTCCCTGACAGTGGCCCCAGCAAACCACAGGGTGATGGAGGAGATGAAAGATATTAATATAGATCCATGGTGAAGATGGACTTGACGATGGCCGTGTAGAACTGCACCAACATCTGTGCAGGCAGCTAAGCTTTCCTGTGCTGCCGCAGGAAGTGCATCCTCTGCTTGGCCTTCTTGATGAGGGAGCTGATGTTGGCTCCCACTTGAGGTCCTGGGTAGGGCTGCAACAACGAACCGATAATATCGATAAAAATCGATTATTAAAAGCGTTGGCAATGAATTTGGTTATCGATTCGTTGTGTCGCGCGATTAATACGTCACCGAGCGCGCGAGTTGGGCGTGTCACTCCTGTATTTGTCCCGGAAACCGGATTCGTCCGGAAGTTCAGTTTGATCCAATGAGCATACGCAGCAGTAGATTACGTCACGGAATCTGGACGGAAGCGGAAGTAAATATAAAAAACTACCTATTCATGCCTAAACTTAACCAGCCATTCCCATAAAATAACCCGAACCCAGCCCTAAACTTAACCATCTTAATCAGATGCCTAAACTTAACCAGTCACCACTTAAGGACATATTAAACTTTTTGACATGCGCAAACTGAACTTCCGGACGAATCCGGTTTCCGGGACGAATACGGGAGTGACGGGGCGCATTCTTGTAGTTCTATGGTTGAGCGGACGGACGCACATGCACCACAGAACCACACAACACTGCATGCACACTGCCGTAAAACTCCACAGAAGAAGAGCAGAGTGTGGCGAAGGTGGTCATTTTTAATACAGTCTATTGTGGAGGCATTCATTCGAGCAAGACCGCGTTAAACCAGTGCAGAATAGTGAAGCGAAGGAAGCGTGCGAGTGTTGTACCGCACTAACTTTAGACACTTTGCACAGAGTCAGTGGGAACAGTGTTTCTCAGGGTCAGGGCTGTCATTTGGAGGTTTGCGGAGAACAAGCCTGGAAGTCACGTCGGGGCGCCGCGCCGCGACTCCAGCCCCTGCTAGTCTCCGGTAAAATCTCCGCAAATAGTGCCTCCCGCCATCAACGGGACAGTAAAGTGTTGGAGAAGACTTTGTCTGGTGTTAGACGAGAGAGAGGGCAGGGGAGAGGAGAGAGAGAGCGGGGGAGACACGTTTTATGAATTCTAAAATCCACAATTTCCAACGCCATATGACGTCATAATATGCTAATTAGATGAGTACACTTATTCCCTACATAAAACTTTTGGCCATCCTTAATAATTCTGTAATTTACAGAAAGTCTATATCTCCTATCACTTTTAAGTTACAGCCTTTTGAAATAAAAATTTCAAACGTTTTTGAGTATGTGCACTCAACAACGTACAATTACCCTAAAAATGACTTAATTACACAAACGCGTCTTGTCTGTAATTGCTCTTTGGGTTAAACAACAATACCTGTTTTTGTGCACTTTACTTTATATTGCATAGCATACATTTGTATTTTTCTTTGTGTTGATCCAAGGCCACGTTTTTTAATAACGGGATGGAAACTAAAAATGCTTTTTTAAAATCCGATTAATCGAAGAAATAATCGTCAGATTAATCGATTATTAAAATAATCGTTAGTTGCAGCTCTAGTCCTGGGGGATGGTGGTGCCCAGGAAACGAAAGGACTCCACAGAGGTGATGAGGGAGTCCATCAGGAAGGGCAGGGGCGGGAGGACTGTGCTCTTCTGGGCGTTCAGCTCCAGGGTGTTACCACTGCCACCCTGGAGGCATGTCCAAACGTAGTCTTGTATTTCGCATCTGGTCTTGTGGAAATTGTAATATTAATGATTTTGTATTAATTTGTTTTGTAGGAATCACTCCTTTGTGCTACATGTTGTATGCCCTCTATGACCCACAATCATGTTGTTGGTACAGTCCAAACCACATGTTTACTTTGGAAGAAAATACACATCTTGTGCTTTACTTTAAGATGAGGTTTGTGTGTACATTTTGATAAAGATTATTTTCTGCATGTCTTAACTGTTGTATTGTGATAAGGTTTTACTTCCGTAACTGGCATGGTCTTAATGAGAAGGAGCCTAAAGTATCTCGTTACGCTCCTAAGTCTGGAACAGGTCATAGGTGTTCCCCTCTGCTTGAGATGTCCTCCTTGGAGTACTTGTTTGCACAGGTTTTAACACAGTTACACATGTAAATCAACATGTATTTTAGCTTTAATAATGTTGGATATTCTGTTTCTGTTTTAAGGCGAAATATGAATTTGTTAATGAGGTAACACAAAAAGAGGAAATGCAATCTGCAGAAGAGTCAAGTGTCTTCAAAAATGAGAGCTTGGGAATGGCTGTCCTGCACCTGTCTCACTACGCAATTCAGAACAAGAAAAAATTGCAAGAAGTTGCAGAAAAAAATGGGTAATTACATTGAGATAATGAATGAATGAATACTTAATTTCGAGCCATGGCAAACAAAAACATAGAACAACAATTTATTTATTTTATTATTTATTATTCTAAGTTAATTGAACTTTAATTATGTGGTTGCTACAGCTTAGTTTAGTGACGTGGTACAGTGACATTCACAATAATATGCACTTGATTTATACAGTGTATGTACAATATGTTTAAATTAATGTGTATCATAGTATGTGTAACAAACTATCAATGGATGTTTAGACATTTCTATTTTCATTTTGTAGATTTCATCACTGTATTCCAAAATCTTTTGCCAAACAAATTTCCAAGGACAACTTTCTGACAAAATACCGGATGAAGCGAATATTTGCTGACTTTGTACAAGCATTCCAACTACAAACTGTGGATGAAGGAAGACTTGGAACGCAAGAGATAATGTATAAATATATCTCAACCCTTGAACACTTGGCTCCACGCTTCGGCACAGAAACATTCTCTGTGTCTCACCTGAACATGCAATGTGATGAGCAGGAAAGTCTTTGCTCAAACTCAGATCATGAACATAGTGCTATGAAAGATGACTATAGAGCTCATAACACTCATGAACTCATGGTCTGTGGCATAAAAGGCATCCAATGGAGAAATGCGTCTACCCAAATGGTATCCTGACTCAAGACCTTGGTCATTTGTTATTCATTATATATTTGCATTAATGTAAAAATGTTTTT